AGAAGGTGTTTTTATTTGCTTTTGTTCCATGTCATTTCAGAATTTTTTAAGGATGCACTATCGTGATATAGGAATAATATCGATATGCAGATAATTGCTTGAAAAAGATAATGAGCATTGGGTATTTGACCAATATTTCCAAACAATATCTGATGACGTGTTTATTCTTCAAGGGTTCTTTAGTAAAGGCAATGGTTCTACATAGAAAAATGAGTTCTCAAGGAACCGTTTGCATGCTTAAAGGGTTCTCTGCATGGTGAAATGGTTCTTGAGATTGATGGAGAATGTGTTTATGGTTCTATTTAGCACCGAAAAGGGTTCTGCTATTGCTACAAGCTTGACACTGTAATAATAGAAGCACCCTTTTTGGTGCTGTATATAACCATAAACACATTCTCCTGAAGAACTATTTCACCATGCAGAGAACCCTTTAAGCATGCAAACGGTTCTATATAAAACTCATGGTAAAAGCAGTGGTTTACTTAGAATATCCATGGTAACTCATGGATACTCTGAGTAAACCATTGCTTTTAATATGGAACCCTTGAAGAACCATGTTTTTACCTGGAACAGCAGAATGTTTAGGTGACGCTGGGTTACTGCACTAAAATATTATTTTATTCATTTTACTGCATGTATAACTCTACAGAAGTAGAAGGAATAATAATAATAATAATAATAATAATAATGATAATAATAATAATAATAACACTTATACTACTCTGTAATGCTGGCGTGACGTGATGTGACGTGGTCCCAGTTTCTACAATTTATAAATGTTTATGTATCGTATCAGCAGATATGTACATAAAAAATATCGGATATCATATCGGCATCGGCCGATAAATTGGTGCATCCCTTTTTTTTTCCAAACTGAAGGCTTGGCTCTAATGCACACTCTGACTACACTCACTGTGCTGTGTTTTTCCAGTAAATGTTAGTGTTGATTGGAATATCCCGTGGTGGACAGAGAGAGCATCTAGCACAGGGGTGTCAAACTCAACCACTAAAAGAGCCACATTAAAAAATCTCAACAAATCTGTGGGCCACAGAAGGAAGATGTTTTTATTAAATTTTAATTAATGTTGTGCTGTAATCCGAACCGGCCACTGTTTATTCAAAATATGCAAAAACGTCAACAGTGAAATATCGGCACTTGTAGTAGACCTTGAAATATTGCATGAATACTTGAAAAATTCCAAATGTAAATCTTGTCAGGACATAAGATTAGGTTTTTTGCTTGAACTCGACACCTGGCATCCTTTCTTTGCTGAACGTTCATTAAGGCCTAAACTCAGTTTCTGAGCTGCTGAGCTGATGTTAAGTGTTGATGTTGGTTGAACTGCAGCTGAAATGCAGCTGGTGTGTTTGGTGATATGACTGGTGTGGAACTGTGTAGAATTAAGGTGTAACCGCTGTCCCATAGATTGTTGTTGAGGTAGAAGAGTCGGAGCGCACAATGCATTGCATTGCATGCTGGGGACTGTAGAGCAGCGCATTGAGAAACAGGCTAATATTAACAGAAAATTAAAACACTTTTGCAGGCCGGATGAGACTGTGTGACCCACAGGCCTTGCGTTAGATACATGGGGTCTAGGAGAGGATCTGTGACTGTATATCTCTGTTGGGGGGCTGCAGACTGTGTTGAGGGAGAGCCGTCTGTCCGACTGTAGAGAAGAAGAGTGAGCACCGTCTCGGGTCATTACTGGTTTAATTAGCGTTAATGTTAAATAAGCGCTGCCGTCCTTCACGACCATCAATTATGAATCTCTGACTGAGAGTGTGTGTGTGTGTGTGTGTGTGTGTGTGTGTGTGTGTGTGTGGTTTTGTTATTTAATTGCATGTGTGTGTTTTAAATGCAATCCGAGAAGCTGTTGGACTTTTGCAGATTTTAATTCTCTCTCTCTCTCTCTCTCTCTCTCTCTCTCTCTCTCTCTCTCACTGTCTCTCTCTCTCTCTCACTGTCTTACTCTTTTATTCTGCCTGTCTATCTGTCTCTCTTTCTTTTTTCTCTGTCGTTCTCATTCTCTCTTTCACTCTCTTTCTCTCTCTCTCTCTCTTTCTCTCTCTGTGCTGTTTATCTAATGGATGTTTGGGCAAATATAAAATTGTTATCATTTTTATGAAAATTAAACTGACAAAGATAAAACATAAAGCAAGAGAGAAAGGAGAGGGAAGTTGAGAGAGAGAGAGAGAGAGAGAGAGAGAGAGAGAGAACAAGAGAAGAAATGAGAGAGAGAGACAGAGAGAGAGAGATAGAGAGAGAGCCGGGGGAGAGAGATATTGTTATTGTTGTTGGCTTGTTGTCTCGGCGTTATTGTGCTGTGGTTATAATATTATACTTAATACAGTCTCACCAATAAAACTACACTGAACTGAACAGAGAGAGAGTAAAAGAAGGATACAGAGAAAGACGAGAGAGGGACAGCCGAGGGAGAGTGAAGAAGAGGTGAAAGAGAAATGAGAGAGACGGAGGGAAAGGCGAGATGAGAATGTGTCTGTGTGTGTAAAGTAGATCAGTGTTTCTCTCTGACGTCAGGAATAAATACAGTACAGTTTACAGTTCACTATCAATTTACTGATACACACACTGTCACTGACTGAGTGTGTGTGTGTGTGTTTGCAGGTGTGCAGATGTGTGTGTGTGACTGAGGGTGTGTGTGAAAATGTGTGTGTGTGTGTGTGTGCGCAGATGCATGTGTGTGCAGGTGTGTGTGTGTGTGTGTGCAGGTGTGTGTGTGTGTGTGTGTGTGTGCAGGTGTGTGTGTGTGTGTGTGTATTGTGTGTTCAGGTGTATGTGTGTGTATTGTGTGTTCAGGTGTGTGTGTACAGGTGTGGTCTTTATCTGCAGGTTCAGTCAGAGGTCAGAGCTGGTCGTTTGTGTTTACACAGCAGATTTAGTCTCTGAGTGACAGAAGCGTCAGAAGGAGAGAAAAGACGCAGAAATAAAACGTAAAGTGAATATTCGATGAATCACGTAGCACTAAAAGAAAAACAGAGGAGAAAGTGTTGTGGATGTGACTCGGGGGCTCGTTCACCTGAGAGTGAAGGTAAATTGTGCGTGCTGGGGCATTATTTTGTAGTTAAATGGGCTGCACTGAGCTGATGCGCTGCCGCTGTGTCACCATGGCGACACACCTGCCCCTCCGGGGGCAGTTTGCTTTCTGACTTGTTCGGGTTGTTGTTGTGGCATCTAATGGGCCATTATCCAATCACAGAGGTCTAGACAAAGCAGAGCTTGTCTGATTGGCCGAGTTTTGGCTGGAGGCCATGTGGCCTGAGCTTGTGTCAACAGTAAAAAATAACATAAAAAATCTATAAATCTGTAAATATTGCTAAATTGAAGGTTTTAAACTGGACTAACAAGCAACCCTAACCAATTTAAAACTCTAATTACCCCTGATCAAAGGGTCTGTTGAATTTGTATGTTCTTTACATGAACTTCAAATAAAAGTAAAAATTAAACAACATTGTTTAATTCAGAGACTGATTGCAGAAGTAATGACTTTTATTTTGACTTTGTACAAAAGCTGCTTCTGTTATTTAGCTGGAAACCTAAGAAGCTGCCAAAAGCTAGTGGTAGCCACTATACCTATTCATACATTTGAACTGTGTGTGTGTGTGTGTGTGTGTGTGTGTGTTACATCTTTGTACGAACCAATTCCAAACAAATAAAAACAGAAAAAAATGACCTTGACAGTATTTAAATAGTACAAAGACAAGATATGTGATGGTTTATCTAGTCAACTTCATTGTTTTTTGTACATTTTTACTTATTCTTAAATGTCTTCAATACATTCCAAGTTGAAACAGCAGCAATTTGAGACCGAAATGTTCAAAAAACACCTTAAACAGGTGATGCAATTATACTATGGTATAAAAAAGAGCTTCCAGGAAAGGCCGAGTACTTCATGAGCGAGGTTAGATCGAGGGCCAAAATGCATCAGTCTCCAATAATGTAAAATTGACCTACTATGCCAATTTTCTGTGTTCATAATTTTATTTTTGGGGTCTAGAACAGATTTACAGCTTCAATGTTCCAAAACACATTATGTTCCTCAGACTGTTCATCTCTATTCACCCTCTGTCTGAAACGCTCTGTTAGAGCTCCTGTGTCTTTAAGCCCCGCCTCCTGAAGAGTCCAGCACGCTCTGATTGCTCAATTCACCCACTCTGTTCTGATTGGTCGCCCCCCCCCAGAGCTATACAGAGATGTATCTGTATACTATAAAATATAGTATTATGTCATAATATATCATAGTGTATTGCAATGAATTGTAATGTATCATATTGTATCATACTGTATAATATAGTAGTGTATCATAATCTATCATAGTGTATTGCAGTGCATCTTAAAGTATCATATAACGTAGTGTATAATATAATCTTATGTCGTAATATATACGTAGTGTATTGCAATGGATCATTATGTATCGTATCCTGTCATACTGTATAATATAGTATTATATCATAACGTATCATAGTGTATTGCAATGCATCATAACATATCCTTTTGTATCTAATTGTGTAATACAGTATTATATCATAATCTGTCGTAGTGCATTGCAATGCATCATAATATATTAGATCGTACTGCATAATGTATCATAATTTGGCAGAGTGTATAGCAGTCATCGCATAACATCATTAAATATAGTATTGTATTGCAACACGTTTTAATGTATTGTATTGTAGCATTTTGTACTGTATTGTTGTATCGTCACTATATTAGTGTCTAGTGTGTGAGTTTGAGCTTTTATTTTAAAATGATACTTTTATAATACTGAATGCTGTAATGAAGTCAATATGAAAACATTAAGGTATTATCCTAATGCAGTGTTTTATCCACTCATTATTTTTTTGCTGCATTATAAACTGTGTAGATCTAAGATTCCACTTTATTGAATCAAATTATGAATTTTGTGAATTTGCTGGTTTTACAGTGTTATCTATGCGTTTGTGTGTTACATTGTGTTACACTGTTTTTGTGTGTGTGTGAGGTAATGTGTTTGTGGTGAGCCTGGCGTTTGCGGACCTACTGGTGGTGTGTTATCCGTACCCGCTGGTCCTCCACGCGATGCTGCATGCGGGCTGGTTGCCGGGGGAGACAGAGTGTAAAGTGAGTGGTTTCCTGATGGGGGCGAGCGTGATCGGCTCCATCTTCAACATCACCGCCATCGCCATCAACCGCTACTGCTTCATCTGCCAGGCCAGCAGGTACAACCTTCCCTCCAAAGTTCAGTCTTAGAAGCTGGTTGATCATTTTCTGAAGTAATGAAACACTTTCAGTGATGTTGAGGTCTGGACTCTGGGGTGGTCAGTCCATTGTTCAGCTTCTTTGTTTGATATGTCCGTCTCCTTTTCTCAGTGAGGTTCTTCTTGATCAGCTACATATCCTTTCAGACCCACAGCGCTGAGTCGTCTTCTCACAGTGGAAGGATGGACAGAAACACCTGTGGATGTTTTCAGATCTGAAGCAGCTTGATTTTCTCCTCTCTCTCAGAGATGAAAGCTTTAAGTGCTGTTTATCTGTTGGGGGCGGTTTTGGTGTCTAGCAGGTTTTCCAGGTGGTTGTTAGGAGTAGGGGCTGCACCTACTAGTCGGCTAGTCAATTTGTTGATTTTACTGCTCGGCGATGACTCTTAAAGCTTCACTGATTGTGACACTAACAACATGGATGCCTCGGAGGAGCCTGAGGTGATTTCAGGGTCTATATCCCAGGTTTCCTGAAGCAATCCAGGACTCTTTGGAAAGGGCACATCATGCTCTACTGACCTGTGGAGTTTGGCTTCATCACAGATTTTCACTTGTTGCAAAGCATTTCTTCTCCTGTGGTTTTATTCATTACGCCATCAGTGATTAGTCAACATCGACTCAATGTTCATTTCATAACTATTGACTTTAAAAAAATCTGGGGACATGCAGCCCCATTTTCTGAAACTTCAGTTTTGGAAACTCCTTTTTCACTTGGAATGGAACTAGTTACTACCCACCTGTGGTGGTCATGTAATTAAAGTCTTTAAATACAACAAATCCAGGGTTTAGAGCTGAAGCCATGGTCATTTTTGTTAATTTTCTGTGCATGTATTCTTTGAAAATGATACTGTATTGGTGGATTGTCTCAGGTATGAAAAGGTATATGGACGCGCCGGGACCTCAGTGCTGCTTATCCTGGTCTGGGTTCTGACAGCCATCGCCATCCTGCCCAACCTTGCGCTGGGCTCACTGACCTATGACCCCCGAGTCTACTCCTGCACCTTCAGCCAGACGGCCAGCGCAGGATACACCATTGCCGTGGTGACCGTCCACTTCTTGCTGCCTATTGCTGTGGTCACATTCTGCTACTTGAGGATCTGGGTTCTTGTGCTACAGGTCTTTAACCTCTTTTTGCATCAAAACTATACGTTAGCTGTGTGTGATATTTTAAAATGTCAATCTAGGACAATTTGTTTCCTAGCTAGCCCCCTCATTTAACAATGTATGTAACTGCAATGAAAAACGAAGTTTTGTCACAGATAAAATCTTGGTGTTTTGTTGCAGTTTTTGAGTGTATGTCTGCCTTAAATTGCATTACATTGCAGGTGAGGAGGCGGGTCACCAGTGACGTGAGGCCACGCCTTCGGCCCAGCGAGCTGCGGCACTTCCTCACCATGTTTGTTGTCTTCGTGCTTTTCGCCGTCTGTTGGGCGCCGCTGAATCTGATTGGCCTGGCCGTGGCCGTGGACCCACCAAGGGTGGCACCAATGGTGCCCGACTGGCTCTTTGTGGTCAGCTACTTCATGGCATACTTCAACTCGTGCCTGAACGCCGTGGTCTACGGACTCCTCAACCAGAACTTCCGACGGGAGTACCGTCGCATTTTGCTTTCTCTCTGCAAGCCCCGCCTTTTCCTGCAGGAAACATCCAGGGGTGGCACGGAGCGCAGCAACAAGCAGTCACCTGGGAACAACAACAACGACCAGCCAAAAGCAGAGACAATTTAACGTTCTATAGGTTAGAACAGACCGCGCCTTCAATCTGTGGTTGAAGTGACAGCAGGGCCGAGGCTAGAAATCCCAGAACCCATAAAGTGACACAGAAAAAGATACAATGGTTTCTGTAATCCCAGGCATGTTCCAGGGCTAGCTCTTGGCCTCTTGAATCATTCCCTCAATGCACCATTCGAGAGGGATCTTAAAAATAAAGGTGCCAAAAGTGGTTCTTCTGAGCAATAGAAGCAAACTATTAGTTTACTAACGAACTTTAGATATTTGTAAATGAGATTTGTGAGTCTGAAGGACCTTTTTCAAAGATTTTCAAAGGTTCAAAAACCTTGACACAAGCTGAAGGTTCTAACCTATTGAATTGTTTTTCTAGGGCTGCATGTCCAAGCCAAGAACCATTTAGGAACCTTTGTTTTTAAGAGTCTATATGGTTAGAGGAACCTAATGGTGCATCCAGCCACTTCATGGCGTGCTTCAACTCGTACCTGAATGCTGTGGTCTACAGGCTGCTACACCAGAACTTCCACCGAGAGTTGCATCGTGTCCTGCTTCCCCTGAGTAAGCAAACATTCAAGAGCAGTGAAGAAAAACAGTTTAGGAACAACAACAAGGTGGAAATTATTTAATGCGGCAACAGAGTTACATTCGCGAGTGCCATTCGTGACTCGCAAGCAAGCAATCTACCTTCACTTTGCAATCTCTGCTTGATATATGAAGAACGGTAGCAAGAGGTGGGTAGCTTCAAACCACTCTCAAGAATAAGTATTGTAATATCAGTGAAATAATGGCTGAAGTCAAAGCTACCCAAGACCTCACCATACGGTTAGAGCTTCACCGTAAATAGTTGTGGGTATAGGAGCCTTAATTACATTTGTGAGCAGAGATGATACCTTCAATCTGTGGTTGAAGTATGAGGAGTGATTCTCAGAGGTGGGTAGGGTAGCCTTAACCTGGCCTCAAAGTTTTGTAACCTCAAAAACATAAAGACCCAAGTTGGTGAAACTGCATTCATGACAACTGGGAATGTTTTTACTCAAAAGCTGTTTGAGGTTGGCAAGAAATGTCACTCACAGTAAGTTAGCATTTTTTTGGCTACCATATGAATCTAAAAGCCTACTACACTCCCAAGATCTTAAAGCAGTGGTCACTAGTCCTGTTCTTGGAGATCTACCTTCACGAAGGATTTTCACTATCAACCTTGATTGAAGATCTCCAAGATCTTGAAGCAGTGGTCACTAGTCTTGCTTTTGGAGATCTACCTTTACGAAGAGTCCACTGTCAACCCTGATTGAAGATCTCCAAAATCTTGAAGTAGTGGTTACCGGTCCTGTTCTTGGAGATCTACCTTCATTAAGAGTTCACCATCAACCCTGACTGAAGATCTCCAAGATCTTAAAGCAGTGGTCACCAGTCCTGCTCTTGGTGATTTACCTTCATGAAAGGTTCACTTTCAGTCCTAATTGAACACAAATAATCAATTTAATTTGTTGGATCAAGCAAGTTAAATTTGGGATATATCTGAATTCTGCTGGAAGGAAGATCTCCAGAAGTTGGGCTGGTGACCACTATCTGTCATATCACAAACAGAAACTTGATAATCTTCTTTAAAACCTTGTTGGAGGTCCCTTCTTTTCCATTCAAATGCCAGAGAATTCCCAGTTCAAAGTCATGAATGTGCTATAAAAGTAGCTAAAAGCAGCAAAAGGAGGAGTTCCTTGTTACTTACAATTGTAAGAATATCTGTGGTGATCAAATTTGGTCAAATTTGGGGAGAGTAGCCTAAAGGTGCATTCAGATGGTGCTCATCAACTTATAAAGTTGGAAAAATTGTAAACATGTAAACAACACATCTGTCCACTGGGATGGACTGGTACCGGTTTGGTGTACCGTGTAACAGAGAATGTACTGGCTGGTAAAATGTTGTAACCTGTAAACACGGGTAACATGACATTACAGTTAACAATGAAGTAAATGTAGCTACTCACCTCTGGAAGGGCAGTAAAGTTTCATCACAGGATACAGAATGTAGAGATGGAAGGTTGTAGGAGGGATCAGGTGTTTCAGCCGCAGGGTTTCTGCCAAATTTCATTAGTTTAATAGCTCCATATAATGCTGATACACTTTTCTGACAGATATACTAGTCAAAAAGGCTCAGAGAGAATGACTGAGTGATTGAGAGAGTGAGAGTGAGTGTGCGAGAGAGTGCACACCGGTAACACTTTATTTTGATGGTCCACTGCAGATGCTTCAAAGATTCTCAATTCATCTCAATTGTCCTTCTACCAAATATCTATTAAATACACCTTGAACTTTCCCCAAATTGAAACCTAATCCTAGTCCTAAATTTAACCTCAACTGAAAATCTAAACCTAATCCTAACCCTAACCTTAATCTCAACCAAAAACCCAAACCTGATGCTTACCTTAGCCTTAACTAAAACCTAAATCTAGTCTTACAATCAACTCAAAATCTAAACCTAATCCTGAACCTAACCTTAAGATCAACTCACAAACTAATCCTAAACCTGAGCTTAACTTCAACCTAAAACCTAAACCTGATCCTAAGCCTAAACCTAACTAAACCTTACCTTAAACTCAACCTAAAACCTGAACCTAAACCTTACATTAGCCCTTAACCCAAAATCTAATCCTAACTTTAAATTCAATCTAAAACCTAAACCTTACCTTCAACCAAAACTTAATTCTTTGCCTGATCTTAACCTCCACCAAAAACCTAAACCTACTCCTTACATGAAGCTAAATCTAATCTTAAAAATGACTTTAACCAGAAACCTAACCCTAACCTAAACCAAAAATTAAAAACTAATCCTAAACCTACCTTAACCAAAAACTAAACCTTTTCCTAAACCTAACCTTAACCTCAACCAAAAACTATTCCCAAACCAAACTTTAACCTTAACTAAAACCTTACCTTAAGCTCAACCTAAAACCTGAACCTAAACCTTACCTTAAGCTCAACCCAAAACGTAATCCTAAACCTGATATTAACCTCAACCCAAAACCTGAACTTACTCCTAAACCTTACCTTAAACTAAAAGTTAATACTAAACTTGATCTTAATCTCCATCCAAAACCATATTGTATACCTAACCTTAACCTCAATCTAAAACTAAAAGCTAATCCTAAACCTAACCTTAACCTAAAACTAAAAACTAATCCTAAACCTAACTTTAACCTCAACTAAAACCTAACTTTACCTTGAGCTTAACCTAAAACTTGAACCTAAACCTTACCTTAAACAAAACTTAATCCTAAACCTGATCTTGACCTCAACCCAAAGCCTAAACCTGATCCTAACCTTAACCTCAACCTAAAATCTAAATCTACTTCTAAATGTGACATTATCCTCAAACCAAAATTGAAATCTAATTCTAAATGTAACCCTAAACTTAACAAAAAACTAAACCTAACTAATCTTAAAAATAACTTTAACCAAAAACCTAAACCTAACCTTAAACTCAACCAAAAACTGAAAATTAATCCTAAACCTAACCTTAACTTCAACCCAAATCTAACCTTAAACTCAACCCAAAATCTAAAGTTAATCCTAAACCTGATCTTAACCTCCATCCTACACCTAAACCTTATCCTAACCCCAACACTTCCTCAACCTAAACCTAATCCTAATCCTCAACTTACAGTGGTTTTAAACTTTAACCACTATTAAAGTTTAAACCCACTTTAGCAACTATTTGTAGGTAGCGAGTCGTATGAAACATCATAAAGAGCTTGTTAAGCTAACAACAAATAAGCAACGTTATTCCGAAAGACCATCACCTGTTCTGTATATATTTCAGTTCAAATGATATTGTTTAACTTGATCACATGCTATGTTTTCTGTGTTACGATTGGCTGTTAGTTTCATGTAGGTTTCAAGTGTTTATGGTTGTGCGAAAGTTTCACCAGACTAACACTCACTCTAACCCTAACCCTAACCTTAACCTCAACCTAAAGTCTAAACCAAACCTTAATCCTGACCTCAACAATACTGCTAATAATTAGCAAGATTTAGCAGATGGTTTGGTAACAATTTTGAGCATTTCTAGGCCAGCTGGAGGCCATCAAAATAAAGTCTGACCAAAACATCCCACAGATGCTACTTAACCAGTCTCAACCGGTCTGCCTTCACTGTGTAATTCAAAAATGTCCAACACTATCCCCTTCCTCAACTTTAAAACAGTAGGCACAACCATTAGCGATGCTAATGGCATTTAGAGCCCAGCCTTAGAGCATTGTTTGTCCAACACTCGGTAAAACAAGCCATTAACTCGGCACAAATGCGCTGGTTAATATTCTATAATTGCTCCAGTTTAGTTTTACGACTCTTTTGGTCTCTGAAAAAAACTACACAGCACTCAGAAAGCAAGAAATAAAAGGGTTTGTAGTAGCTGGAACAGAGAAACAGGCACTGTAATGCACTTATTCTCAAACACTCTGATCTCTCAGTGCTGCAGCTGCCCTCACCAGACACGTCCGTCAAAGACACAGTCCGGTTTGTTCATTTGTTTTCCGCACTTGGTCGTGACATTCATCATGTTTCCCATTAAGAGATGTTTTTAAGGTGTTTACAGACCAAATCTACCGTGACAAGAACAGTAAAATAGGAAAATGTTGTACATTAACTGGCCACTTTATCAGAAACCCCAACCTTGTACTTCCACTCACTGGCCGCTTTATTAGAAACACCTTTCTTGTACTTTCACTCACTGGCCACTTTATGAGAAACACCAACCTTGTACTTCCACTCACTGGCCACTTTATTAGAAACACCCCCATTGTACTTCCAATAACTGGCCACTTTATTAGAAACACCTTCCTTGTACTTTCACTAACTGGCCACTTTATTAGAAACACCTACCTTGTACTTCCAATAACTGGCCACTTTATTAGAAACACCTTCCTTGTACTTCCACTAACTGGCCACTTTATTAGAAACACCTACCTTGTACTTCCACTAACTGGCCACTTTATTTGAAATGC